TTTTTAAGGTGTAATCTCTGTTGCCAGGTTGGAGAGTGCAGTGGTGAGATCTCCGCGCACTGCAACCTTCCGCCTCCTGGGTTCAAGGGATTCACCTGTCTCAGCCTCCCATGTAACTGGGATTACAGGGCAGACCACCACGCCCGGCTAATTTTTGCATTTTTAGTAGAGACGAGGATTCACCATGTTGTCCAGGCTGGTCTCGAACTCCTGACCTCAGGTGATCTGCCTGCCTCGGTTTCCCAAAGTGCTGGGATTACAGGCGCGAGGCACCGCGCCCGGCTGCAATGTTTTCAAGTATCACAACGTAACTTGAATTTGGGTTCTATCATGTCATCTACAATGTAAAAATGTTCGGAATCTAATTTTGAGAGTCCGTCCAAGGCACAGCAAAGCAGTAATCTGCTGATTTGCAATGTGGGGACTGGGAACCAGATGTTACTAAAAATGTGAGGAAGTGACTGAATACGAGCCGCCTGGCAGGTCGTCTCGGGCCGCTGGTCGGGGTCCCATTCAGTTTTAACTTGTTGCCTTACACAGAGCACGGGGCGGGGACCCGAACCTGCGCCATCGAGAGGCGGGACTGGAGCATCCGACGCCCACCTTGCTGTGCTCCGGCAGAACCGGGTCGCGGGTGAGGGGAGCAGGTGCCGGGGCCGCGCGGGGCGTTTGGGGCGGTTTTCCCGAGCACGCCTGGGAGCAGCTCAGCGCGCTCGGCGTTTCCGTGTGAGGTCTGGACGTCACGGGCCTTCCACGACTGTTTTCTGGGACGAGCTCAGGTCAGGCTTTCCTCTGTGCGCCCGTCTGCCCCGGCTCCCTCGGGCGACCGGGCGAGGGCGGAGGGTTCCCAGCGGGCTCGGACCTGCGCCCCGGAACCCGCCCGCCCAGCGCAGGTGCGCGCCTCCTGCCCGCGCGAGGCGGCGCCAGACGGGCCCCCGGGAGTCCCCGAACCCGCCACGCAGCCCAGGCCGCCCCCGCGCCCGCCGCAACCCCCGCCCTGACCCCGCGCGCCCCGAGCCGGGACACGGTGTGGACCCCATTCCTCCGCCTCCGAGCGGACGGACCCGCAGGGCGACCCCGCGCGCGCTCCGCCCCGACCCCGCCGTCCCGTGCCGGCCGAGGTGGCCAGGCCGCCGGGTTTCTGGGGTCTCCGCTCGGCGGCGGGGAAGGGCCGGCCGGGGGGAAGCCCCGCAGGAGGAGGGAGCGGCAGGGGCCGAGGCCGGGAGGGAGGAGCGCCGGGAGGAAGAGGCCGAGCCGGGAGAGCCCCCGCCCCGGGAGGAAGGGGAGGAGGCCGAGCGTTTCCTGGCGCATTCCCGGCCCGCCCGACTGAGTCACTCGGCAAAGGAAACTCCCGGGCCCCGCCCGGACCCCCAAGCCTCCGCGGACCCAGGTGAGGAACCCCGTGCGCCCGCGCCCGCCCTGCGGCTTCCTTGGGGTCTGGGTCGCCCTCGGAACCCGGGCCGGCCAGGGCGGCGGGGCCGGGACTGAGCCCCCCCGGCGGCGCGGCCTCCGGGATCGCCATGGCCCCAGCGTCTCCGGCTCCCGCCCCGGGGCTCCAGGTTCCCGCGCTCCTAAACTGCGCCCCTCCGGGTTCCAGGTCCCCGCACCCCCTGAACCGCGCCCCCCCGGGCTCCAGGTCCCCGCTCCCCTAAACCGGGTTCCAGGTCCCCGCACCCCCTGAACCGCGCCCACCCGGGCTCCAGGTCCCCGCGCCCCTAAACCGCGCCCCCCCGGCCTCCAGGTCCCCGCGCCCCCTAAACCGCGGCCCCCCCCGCGCTCCAGGTCCCCGCTCCCCGCCGGGCGCTGCGCCCCAGGCCTGTCGGCGTCGGCTCCGAGCTCCCCTCCCCCGCGCTCCCGGCCCGGCGCCCGGATCCCCGATTCGGCTCCCGGCACGTGGCGCGGCTCCCGTGGGGAAGGGACACCTCCGTGTTTCACGGGTTTTTGTTGGAAAGTAAGGGGCAGGCAGATTGCCAGCGTCGCCCTAAGCTCGCGCAGCGGGATCTGAACCCGTTTTTGTTTCGTGCCCCGTGAGGACCTGAGGGAGCCTGGTCCGCGGGGCCGTTCGGCGCATTCTTGGAGAGCGGAGTTTCGGGCTTTGTTGAGGAGGCGCGATTGTTTCGCACGAGCCTTCGGAACTGTGTATTTTCAGCCTGAAATGCGTGAGCTGCGTTTGTGGGTGTGACTAGAAGGGGAAGAGTAATTGGAAACGGGCTTGAGCGAGCGTTTTTTTAAAGCCAGGGGGCGTCGGGACGGTGCCCGCTCCGCCGTGAAGTCCGCTCGGGGAGCGTTCGTTTTCTGGCGGCGTTTCCTGGAGTCGTCGGGTGGACTCTGGGACGAGGCGTGGCCGGAGCCGCGGGGGACAGCTCGGTGGCGAGACAGAGCCCCAGCCAGGCCGGGACCTGCGGGGCCCCACGTGTGCGGCCCTTTCCCTGCTGGCCGGTGCCTTCCCTGTGAAGTCTACACCGGCAGGCACGGAGCCCGGAGGAACGAGTCACGTTGTGGGTGGGCGCGGCCCGTGGCAGGTGTGCGCTTGTAGGGTCCCTGCGACCGACGCGCCCTGGAGTCCTGCGTGAAGACAGGTGTCTGTGCCGCGCCCAGAGAAAGCGTACCCCTAAGCTTGTGCGTGTGTTTCAATTTACTTTAAAATTTGCTTATAGTAAGATTCAGTTTTTGGTGTGCAGTTAGGCGTGGACCGCAGTCAGGATACTGGGGAAGGCAGCCTCCGTCCTCCCCGCCCCGCAGCCACCTGTCTGTCCCTCCCTGCTGCTCCTTTGCCTTTTCCGGGATGTCACACGTGGGCTTGGAGTCTGGCTTGCCTCACTTAGCTTAAGGAGTCGGAAATTCAGCCATGCTCTGGCTTGTCCCTGAAGCCTAAAGATACAAAGGTTTTAAAAGTGTGGCTCTCGGATACAGCCTGAGAGACAGGCTAAAATGATAAAGTGATGAGAAAAATTACGAAACTATAGTTCATTAAAAACATTAAATAGTATGGAACCGACGCGTATGCTGAAAGTGAAATTCCCTGGGTACTTTTAAGTAGTATGCAATCCTTGCTGTGCATACGCAACTTTTTTATAACATAGTGAGAGCATACTGCATGTTATCATCATACGTTTTTCACTTAATGATGTTTGGTTATTTAAACATCTTAGCAATCTTTACATGTTGATATATACAGTGTATACACAGATTTCCCTCAGTCTTTTAAGTGGCTGTATAGTTTTTGTTGTTTTTTGGGTTTTTTTTGACGCGGAGTCTTGCTTTGTGGCCCAGACGAGCGCAGTGTTGCAAACTCGGCTCACTGCAACCTCTGCCTCCTGGTTCAAGTGATTCTCACATGTCACCCTCCCAAGTAGCTGGGATTACAGGCATGCGCCACCACACCCTGCTAATTTTTGTATTTTTAGTAGAGACAGAGTTTCACCATGTTGCCCAGGCTGGTCTTGAACTCCTGACCACAAGTGATCCTCCCGCCTCAGCCTCTCAAAGTGCTGGGATTACAGACATGAGCCACTGTGCCCAGCCAGATGACTATACTGTTCTGTAGTGTGGATGTTCCATAATTTTATCAGCCTCCTTTTTACCAATGTTATAGTTACTTACTGTTTTACAGCGCTGCAGTCAGTGCTTGTGTCTGCATCTTTGTGCACATACTCACATTTATCATGCTAAAGGAGACTTTGCGTTTCAATAATAGCTAACATTTCATGAGTGCTTCTCATGCTTCAGGCATCGTTCTAAGCCAGGTTACCTGTCAAGGTCCAGGTGGTGACTGCTGACAGCCGTGCAGGCCGTGTGGTCTCTGGGCTGTAGCACCCGAGCAGTGTGGACAATATGTATGGGGAATGAGTCTGGCTGTGTCCCATTGAAACCTCTGTATAGAAAGAGGCAGTGGTCTGTAGTTTATTGACCACTGTTCTAAGTCGTATACACCCTAATTATTCTCATAGTCCTCCAATGGAGGTGCAGTTACTATCCCCACTTTGTGGATGAGGAAACTGACACAGAGAAAGGAGGAGTCCAAGGTTAACTTCCTTTGATGTCTGCTCCGGCAGTCATCACCTGAGCCCAGGTCAGCATGTTGCGTGGCCTACCATGGCCCATTTTCCTTCAATAACGTGGAGCAGGCCGGGTGCGGTGGCCCATGCCTGTCATCCCAGCACTTTCGGAGGCCAAGGCAGGGCGAATCACTTGACGCCAGGAGTTCAAGGCCAGCCTGGCCAACATGGTAAAACCTTGTCTCTACTGCAACTACAAAATTAGCCGGGCGTGGTGGTGCATGCCTGTAATCCCAGCTAGTTGAGAGGCTGAGGCAGGAGAATCACTTGAACCCGGAAGGCGAGCTCACACCACTGCACTCCAGCCTGGGCAACAGAGCGAGAGTCCGTCTCAAAAAAAAAAAATTGTGAAGATCAAATGAGATAATGTATAGAAAAAATACTGTAAGCCAGGCGCAGGGGCTCATGCCTGTAATCCCAGCATTTTGGGAGGCCGAGATGGGTGGATCATGAGGTCAGGAGTTCAAGACCAGCCTGGCCAAGATGCTGAAACCCGTCTCTAATAAAAATACAAAAATTAGCCGGGTGTGGTAGCATGCGCCCGTAATCCCAGGTACTTGGTTTTCTGAAGCAGGAGAATCGCTTGAACCTGGGTGGCAGAGGTTGCAGTGAGCTGAGATCATACCACTGCACTCTAGCCTGGACAACAGTCTAAAAAAAAAATACTGCATAAGAGACACTTTTTATGCTATGTTTTCTAAAGATTTTATCTTTGTAAAACATATGTTATAGTGTGAAGTTTTAACTAATATGTCCAAGCTATTTTGTTTTCCCTATTAATATTTAGCCAGCTCTTAGAGGCCACAGATAGAGCTTGTGCTAATTACACTGACATAATTTAAAAACCTTATTTTAGCCAGTGGAGTAAGGTCAGACAAAGAAATAAAAAGCATACAGATTGGAAAGGGAAACTTTTTCCTATTTGCCAACAGCATTATTATCTACATAGAAATTCCAAGGACTTTATGAAAAAGTTACTAGAACTAATACACGAGGTTAGCAAGGTTACAAGATACAAAGTCAGCACACAGAAGGCAAACTTATTTCTCCATACAGCAGTGCCCTTATCCCTGGGGAGATTCGTGCAAAGTCAACACTGTATAAGCTGACCTTACTTATTTACAACAGTGCCTGTTATCCACGGAGGGTGTGTTCCAGTGGATGTTTGAAACCTTGGGTAACCCAGAACCCTTTGTGGACTGTTTTTGTTTTCCTGTACGTCTATGCCTGTGATAAAGCTTAATTTATACATTAGGCACAGTAAGAGAACAATAACTAATCGTAATATAAGATAACTATATGCTGAGTAAGAGTTATATAAATGTGTTCTCTCTTTCAAAATATTTCTTTGTATGCACTCCCCACCTATTTTTGGAGGGCAGTTGACTGCAGGCAGCTGTAACTGGGAAAACAGAAATTGCAGATAATGAAACTACAGATAAGTAGAGACAGCTGTACTAGCAATGTGCCATTAGAAAGTTAAATTCAAAAACACCATTTCTCTGCTTCAGAAGAATCAAATACTTAGGTATACCTTGAATATCACTTACAGGAGCTGTATGCTGGAGATGAGAGAAATCAAAGATCATTTAAGTAAATGAGGGGACATACCATGGTCAGGGGTTGGAACACTCAGCATAGAAAAGACATCAGTTCTCTTTATATTGATTTATAAATTTAACCCAATTTCAATTAAAAAAAATATGAGCATGATTTAAAAACAAAAATTTTAAACAACTTTATTAAGGCATAATGTACCTACTTTATAAAATTCACCTCCTTTTAAGTATCCATTTGGCTGGCCCGTTAACAGGGGGATTAGGGATGCCAACCCCCTGTGCAGTTGAAAATCTGAGCTTTTTTTTTTTTTGAGATGGAGTTTTGCTCTTGTTGCCCAGGCTGGAGTGCAGTGGCGTGACCTTGGCTCACCGCAACCTCCGCCTCCTGGGTTTAAGTGATTCCCCTGCCTCACCCTCCCAAATAGCTGGGATTACAGGCATGCACCACCATGCCCGGCTTTATTAGAGACAGCGTTCTACCATGTTGGCTGGGCTAGTCTCGAACTCCTGTCCTTAAGTGATCTGCCCACCTCAGCCTCTCAGAGTGCTGGGATTACAGGTGTGAGCCACCGTGCCCGGCCTATACCTTTTTTTTATTTTTTGAGATTGAGTCTCACTCTGTCACCCAGGCTGGAGTGCAGTGGCACCATCTCTGCTCACTGCAACCTCTGCCTCCCGGGTTCAAGCAATTCTCCTGCCTCGGCCTCCCAAGTAGCAGAGATTACAGGCGCCTGCCACCATGCCCGGCTAATTTTGTATTTTTAGTAGAGACG